TTACGGTTTACCTTTCGGCGTGCAAATGAAGGAGCTGTTCCGTGACAGCGATATTCAGTTGCATGGCATACTAAGGTTCCGCTGCGTTTTGGTACTCCCGTGAGAGCTAAGCCAAAGGTGGATGTCTCGCTGTCATGCACCAGTAAAGAGCGCGATATCCCAGCTGACCTTAAGTTCGGGCCTTGGAGCGCGTCGCCTTGCACATAGACTTTCAGACTAGGGCGAGATGCTCCAGTTCTTACCTATTCAGACATCTTTGGTGACGACCCTCGCATTCTTGCCACGACTCAACTGTTTTCATTTTTGGCTAATATAGGATTTTTAGCTATTCACACACCTATGCAATCACTTAGCTGCTATGGGCGCAAAATGACCTTATTAGTCGGCGCGTCCTAAAACCCCGATCAACAACAACAAAGGTTAGAAAGCATCGTGCCGCGCATTACGGCACGTTCAAAGTTGGGCCCAAAATTATGACGTTGACCTGGTACTTTACGATCGGATGGTGGGGTCAGGCCTTACGCAATAAGCACTTGCTTAGCGTGGGCTCTGGTACCAGAAATCCACATTCAAAAGGTTTGGACAAACAAGGTATGCATACACACACACACACACACACACACACACACACACACACACACACACAAACACCACACACACACACAACACACAACACACACACACACACACACACACACACACACACACACACCCACACACACACACACACACCACACACACACACACACCACACACACACACCACACACACACCACACACACACACACACACACACACACACACACACACACACACACACACACACACACAACACACACATAGAGAGAGAGAGAGAGAGAGAGAGAGAGATAGCGAGAGAGATATATAGATATATAGATATATATATATAAGAGATATATATATTGATTATTTATTTATATGTGTGTGTGTGTATATATATATATATATATATATATATTTAATATATATGTACCATATATACATATTATATTTATACATGTATATATGAAGTATCTGGTGCACAACGTCTAGGTTCATTAGGTTGGGTTCAGATGCCAGCTGATAGGAGAGGCTTTGCTCAGTCAAACGTCGTGGTTTCTTGATTAGGTCCTTCCGCGATCTCCATTGCGGCTGCAATCGCAAATAGCATGTGGTAGCTACGTGCGTAATAAGCTACTGCCCATTTGCATTGCTTGGGAAATTGTTCATGTATTTTGTAACATTTCAGTATGCAGTGCTTCTTATCGTAAGATCTTTGAGAAGCTTGTATTGACCTTTCACACTGTGGGAAGGAAGTAGTTCAAATCACGTTTTGTTTGGTCTGTTTAGCAACAAATCTATATCGGGTGTGGAGTATTGGGTATTGGGTCTGCTATACTGGGTGTGGAGATTAAAGCTGGTGCGGTGTTAAAGCTGGCGTTGAAGCTGGATCCAAAATAGACCAACATTTTCTCGCCGTATGACGTCGCCCAAGACCATGTAGTCTAATCTAGTCATTTCATGACTTCCTGTGACCTTGAGCGTGGACAACCATACCCTACCTACCTTCATAGACCACGGAGACATTGGAACACTGCGAATATCTACTAACATCATTTCGACGCGCAATAGACCGCAAGTCTATCTGATCGACGATAGCCTCGATGTCTTAAGCATGATCTATCTGATCAGTGTGTTTCGATCACGTAGGGTGGGTCAAATGAGGTGTGGTCGAGGGTCCATGCGAATTACGCAGCGTAAGTTTCAAGTCCCCTGGATCATGGAGTCCGTGACTTCGAGTGACCTTTTCACTAAAAGACATTTTCAGCCACCTCTTTGTCAGAAATCGAATCCAAAACACTGTTTTGCCACATTTAAACCAAAATGCACCAGTTACCGACAAAAACGAATACAGTAACAAAATCACTGGCCTTCGCCGAGAAAGTTGGCTGACCCCACTGAACCCGCTCTGAGAGGTCACGGGTTAACGTGCCGCGGTCAGCTGATGCGTTATTTCACGCTTCATGCACGTGGGAAAGCTATGGTGCTGTTCTGTTTGGCGCAGTGTTGATAATATACTTCTACAACTACATACGTATGATAACTGCAAAGTAGGCACTGTCTTCTGCGTACAAATCCAACTTCGAAATCACTTTCGGAGTCAATCAGTGCGACGATCACGTCCAAGTGCTGAAGATTATTGAAAAGCGCCAAAATATGCATTTTCCGGTTGTCCACTTTATCAACAATTTCGTCAGTGACAACGATGGGATTTACTTACCGTGATGCAAGCGTCGGAAATGGCACAGGCGCTGGAGAACACACCTGTTAAGAGACGAAGGACCGAGCACAGTAGGAACGTCAAAAGTTTTGAGTATAGCGTTGCACAATTTATTAGAAGCATGGGTGTAGGAACAGGGGGAGGGACACGGGCCAATGGCGCGCCTCCACTTTTCAAGGTGGGGGGCCAGCAATGATTACTGCCCCCCCCCCCCCCCACCCACTCTTTCAGATTTAAATTGTGTCTAGCTTTTTTGTAATACTATTAGCATGCATGCCAATTAACCTAGCTCACCACCATCTTCTTGAAGATGCATCATCATTTTCGTCTTGCCCATTGGCCATCTCTTATTGTCACAGCCGCGGGCCGACACGCG